CTCATACGATCCTTTTTTGGCGCCACACAAGCCAGATTGTCTCACCGAGTCAATCTTCAGTCGATGCGAACGAGCAACACCCAGACCTTGGGAAGTCCTGGATCGATTAGATCACCCAATGATTCAGATGCAACAAGAAGCTACTAGGTGGAGGCCATCGCTATTCGGTTGGAGGCCATGAAACACTAGTAGCAAGGACGCTATTGGGTTGCAGGCCATCGCTACTAGCAACTAGAAGACCTATGGGTTTCAGATGGAAACTCCTCAAGGATCCCTCCAAAGGATCACCACGTGCTGACCTGGTCAAAGATGGTCAAAGGGCATCTCATTAGATCTGATCGCACACACACACACACACCAAGAAAACAAGGAAACACTAAACAAACACTAAGAAGCATAGTTTCAGTATAGAACTGTTAGCACATTCTTGTTTCTACTAGCAAACCTTGTTACAAGGTAAGGCCACGTTCGCCCCCGTTCGTCGCGTCGTCCGCTGCTCGATAGCGGGCATCCCGCCCCGATCGTCGCGTTGTATACGGAAGACCAAGAAACACGGCTCACCTCTACACGGCTCGGAGGAACGACGGACACCGGGGTCTCGGAGAGTCGGTCACTCCGGAGATCGGCTCCGGGAACGGTTCGTCACGGCCAGGGCGACGAGGAGGCCACCGGAGAACGGTCCAGGGAAGGAGGGTGGATGGATCCTGTTTGTTCTCTATCCTATCTACTAGGTATCAATATCCTCCTTAGATCCTACTGTAGGGGTGGATATACTTTGGGAGTCCAAGACTATTTTCTTAATAGTCTTTAGCTGACCCGGCTGATCCGAAAAGGAATTTCCTTTACTTTTGGTGTCCCACGAATAGTCTTTGGACTTCTATGATATCAATAGAGCTCAATAGACTTCACTCTGAAATCGAAAGCATGGTGATGTAGTTTGCTCTTTCTTTGTTGCCTTCAGTGCATTTCAAGAGATGGATCCTCCAAAGAGCCAGAACCCGTGGCAGGAGCCGGCAGAGCCGGCGGCCAAGCGCCTCAAGACGGACGACACCTGACGGAGCGGTCCAGAGAGCGGAGGTCGGAACCAGGTGAAGCTAGTGGCTTTTCTCTTCTCTGGTTTTTGAAAGCTCTGGGATATGTGTGTTTTTAATAGTTGCACATGTTCTTCTTCTTTTCTCCTGCATGCGGATTTCATGCAGTGAAGGTCAGTTTTCGTCAGCCGGGTTCACTGCCACTCTCAGCTCTAGGAACCTGATCTTTGATCAAAAAAGGCTGCAGTTTGAACAGCTCAACATTTCAGATTCATGATCACATGAGCTGCTCTTCTGTGCAGGACTTTGCACTCTATGCTGCCTGCACTGACTGGCACCAGGGTTCCGAGCGAAAAGATCCGGGCATCAGCGCTTTGCAGCGGCATTGCTGTTTCAAGCTGCCATGGGTGCTCTAAGTAAACGCCTGTAGCTGTTAGATGGCAAAAAGTCTTTGACATTCATCTCAAACTTTTGGTTGCTGCTGCCATACCACTGATTCCTTTATCTTATTTATATATCAATTATATATATATATATGATATATATATATGGTACCCCCCCCCCAAATGTCCATATTTTTTAAAATTTTACTGGTATTTGCAGGGATTGTGGGGGTACCATATATATATATATAATCCTAAAATCCTAAGATTTCAGCACTAGTCGGAAATGGCGGACGTAAACTTTCCAGTACTTAGAGAAAATTTTAAAATATTTTAAAAATTTCTCAGAAGTAAGAAGCAAGAAGTAAGATTCTCTAGGAGAGTTCTGTGCAATCTTACTTCTTACTTCTTACTTATGAGAAAATTTTAGAATATTTTAAAATTTTCTGGAATTCTCTAAGTATTGAAGTCTTCACCGTTTCTGGAGCAGCCGGTTAATCTCAAAGGCATTTTTGCATCCAAAAACCGGCTTCATGGCATTCCATGTGTCTGGGGAAGTCACGGTCTCCAATGACAAGGCGAACCTGGTCCTTAATTTGAAGGACCCAGTGACATACCTGCTCGACATGAAAGCCTTGTGGGATCGCATTAGCACCGGAGAAATTGGTGTGCATCCCACTCGGCAACCGTTGGACAGAACCACTTTGGGAACTTTGATTCACAATATTCAGCGGTCTGCCGACTTGAAGCCTACTGGCCTCAAGGGAGCATGGAACCCAAAAGCTGAAGAGACCCTCATCCGCATCTTGGCGTCTCCGAAACGCTGCCGTGGAGGGGGACAAGCATCAGCACTTGCATTGCCTCCTGTTCATCCACAAACACCTCAACAAGCACCTCAACTCATCTAAAAAAGTGTTTTTGTCGTCTTTGCATGGTTTCCACTCAACCTCATATGGGTAGACCGCATCGCATGCCTAAGGCCATCTGCAATCAACATCATTCTGGCTCTTCTTCTACGTCTTCCTCAGAGTCATCTTCCGATTCTTCGGGGACCAGGGACGGCGGAGGATGCAGAGATCAAGGGTGGTGTGGCTGATGATGAGGATGTGAAGGGTGAGGAGTCTGAGGGTGAGGAGTCTGAGATGGAAGATGTTGAGGAGTCTGAGATGGAAGATGTTGAGGATGAGGTGGGTGCGTGTGTGGAAGTCAAGGGTGGCGATGCGAACCAGGAGGAATCCGTCTCAGGGGAGACTATGCAAGGGGACTGGCTCGAAGCAGCTGTCTTCAAGCATCCAAAGTTCAAGCAGATGTCCTTTGACTTTGATGACCTTGGTCAGTCTCTGCAGAGGCTTGGAAGAGATTCGCAGAAAGTTTGTGGAGAAAAAGGAAAAGCACATTGTCTTCGGGAAGTCGAAGACTTGGATTGATGTGGAGGGTGACGAAGTCACATTTGACAAGCATGACATCTCCCAAGATCCAGTCCTCGGCCATGAAGTCAAAGGAGACAAGTGCGTTCTATGGGAACAATGGTGCGGCCTTGTGCAGAGAGGAAAGCCAGAGACGCTCTTCATGACTCGTCTCAAGCCTGGCCTCACAGTCCGTCGTGCTCCAGGTCCTGGTCCCATCAGCAAGCATGACTGGACACCCTTGGGCAAAAAGCACTTGGCTGGCAAGAACATCATCTTCCACACGGATTCTGCGCGTGCCTACAAGCTGAAGCTTCGTGATGTACTTCATGATAGCGTTGTACATAAGAAAAAGCGCGTCAAGAAAAGTGGCAAGTGGGTTTGGACCAAGCCTACGTTTGTCAAGGTTGTGACGCATAAATTGCCAGGAGGCAAGAAAATTAAAGTAAAGGCAGGCACTCAACACATTGACCGGTGTTGGAAGTTTATCAAGGAGCGTGTGTGTAAAGGCACCCACTCCCGTGCAGGCCTGAAGCGTTTGCATTTCAAAATCCGGGCGGCCCAGTACGAGTACTGGTACCGTGGGTCTGATATGTGGAAATGCACCGGGGATCTCGTGCAGGACCACATGTCAGGAATTGTTGCCCAGCCGTGACCGCATCTGTGCTGAACAAAAAGGCCCTTGCCATGCATATCCCAGGTTGCTGGAAAATCTTCACACAGCATCACTCAACAAAAAACTTTCTGCAACTTCCCCCCATCTTGAAGGCATGCTGGGCCCCACATGAACAACTATATCTCCAAGATCCCTTCTGCTTGCTGGGAAACATTCAACAAAGAGGCATTCTGGAATCTTCTTGGCACCTCCAAAATCAAAAGGTTAAATCCAAATACCAAACTTTTGCAAAACTCTGGCTGCTAGTTCCCAAATGAACAACTTATCTCAAGATTCCTATCGCCCAATGCACAATATGGTGACATGCAATTCAACAGACCAGACAAAAAAACCCTCAAAATGTACCCCCCAAAAATGAATGCCAAAATATCATCAAACCACTGTAAATACCAGTGCAAGCCGAAAAAATGTGGATTTTTTTTTTGGGGGGGGTAGCTATATGGTACCTATATATATGCCATATCCGGATCCGCTTCACATTTTGTAGAGGGTGTTTTTTAAGGTTCAACCCAACCAGCCATTTTGTAGACAAAAAAGTGGCGTCAAGGCCCAACATTCTGCAGTTTTTTTAAATGCATTTAACATATCATTTGAGAAAGACCGTGTTGAACGTCTCATTGTGTAGTGATATTTGGGCTATTTGAACTCTAGTCATCCACAACATTTTGTAGAGGATGTTCTGGAAGCATTTTGTAGAGTTGTTTGGATATGTTTGGATGTTTTTGGCCTATTTGAACCTATTTGAATCAAATGTTGGAAAAGCATGGGAGCGCTCCAAGTCCATCCTTAGTCCATCCTTACTTAAGGCACAGATTATCAGCTGCAAAGCAGAGATGCAAAAACGCATTATTTATCATTTTTCTTGAAATTATATGACCATACATGCAAATATAACCATATTTATTTGATTAACTTTGGGCCGTGCATTCGATTCATATTCTTTTGACTCAGTATGATACAAAATGACCCCTTGACTACTGAGATGTGTGGGGCATCCCATCATTTGGTAGACAAATCACGCGCGCACGTGTTCTACAAAATGACGTCGTCCGCCTCATTTTGTAGATGTTTGTTGTTTTTTAGTATGATTTTGTAAGTGTTGTTTTCTTTTTCGGAGGTGCCATTTTGTAGAGCCAATGTTTTTTACACAATGACTGTCACGCCCCCTCACCCGAAATTAGAACGGGGATCTAATGAGTTCTGTCATATTCAGATGAAGCGAGGGTAGATGTCGGTGGCAAAGGTTCGAGGGTTTCGCAGTTTCCTCCATGTTCCGACGAAGTCGGATGACCATGGGATCACGAAATCCTGCAGAAAACGTTTGGGACGTAACCGTCAGCGGCACCGTAATCCACCACTTCCACTGGTAGTTGAACCCTTTCATCAGCATCCTGAACATGTTGAGGGACACTTTCCATCAACACCCTGAGTCCACCGTCCCGGGTTCTTCGAGCAGAACCGCGAAAACGTCAACAGAGACGGAGCCGGAGCAGACGCCCCGCAGGGTGGAGTTGAAGCTGGGCCATGGAGTGCCAGGCTCCATTGGCACCTCAAGGCTTCAAGCCTTGAAGCAGAGCCTCTTCGAGGTCCGGCGAACCGGACGGAAACAGAGGAAACAACATCTCGGGCCTGTCGGATTGGAGATGGGCCAGTTGGATTAAGGCGTTGATCTCACTTGTGTTAAAAGACTGCCCTTCGAATCACTCCACTTGCATGTGGAACACCTGCTGCTTGTAGAGGTCAGTTGCCTTCCCAGGAGCCATGCCATGCACTTGCTTCCATGGCTCGTGAGTGTAGTATGTGCAGTGTTGTTGTTGTTGTTGTTGCTGCTGCTGCTGCTGTTGCTGTTGCTGTTGCTGCCGCTGCTGTTGTTGTTGTTGTCGTTGTTGTTGTCGTAGTACAACAAGACTGGATCCACCACCATGGGGTCCCTGCTATCGACCGCCTTCTCAGCTCGGTGGACCTGCAGCTGTACGGCTTCGTTTCACCCGCTCGAAGAGCGTGTTAGCTATGAAGCTGGGATTTCAGCAACGAAGTGTAGTATAGGATGTTAGAAGATTTGTTCATGGGTCATAGGGCAACAACAGTGAGGAATGGCCATTTTGATTGAAGTATTGTATTGTTTTCATGGTTTGTTTGAAATATGCGTTTTGAGCATGAGGGCTGTGCGCACAGAAGGAGTAAACAAATCTCAAGTGTATCAGTGTATCAATCTATGCATTCACGTTTGGTGTTCCTTCAAAGCCAATTGAGTGGAATCGGGGCAGATTTGAGTGTGGTCCCTTTCGTGAAGCTATCGTTTTCAGTCACCCGAAGTTCATGAGCCCGTTTCGTTGCCCCACGGAGGGTTGACCCTTGTTGGGGAGAACAGAGACAGATGTTGGATGTGAGCCATATGGCCATATCATCTAAATCCCACGTGTCATGTCCACTGCATGGCCGCTGACCGGGCGGATGCTGCACCTTTGGCTGCTGGTACTATGTGATGGCCTTAGTCAGACGTCATGTCGCGCCTGTCGGAGAAAGAACACGAGTTTGGCGGTTCTGTTGGATCTGGAAGTGTGAGCTGAAGACTTACTTTGCAGAACTGAAGTTGAACACAACATGAAAGACTTTGGCTGCTGAGGGTATTATCTGAAAGGTGAGCCGACATGGTCCCTATAGGTTTCCTACGGGTCCAGTCTGACCCAGGCCCAGATGCCCTGGTGCTGAAAACTTTCTAATAGCTTCTTGTTACTAGTAGTAAGGCACTTGTTACTAGTAGCGATGCACTTGTTACTAGTAGCTTCTTGTTACTACTAGTGTTTTTGTATCATCAACTTCCTGACCAACTTCGGGTCTCCTTATCCCCCCCGCTTTTCTCCTCTGCGCGGGGCGAGACCCCCGACGCTTCCGACGCTTCCCACCGAGTGGCTCACCGGTGAGGCGGGGTGAGGCCCGGAAGCAGCCAGGACAGTCGTGGTTCAACGCATGGATTTCGGCGTCGGGCGGGCGGGCGGGACGGCAAATTTTTTAAAAGACAAGTTCTTTGTTTTTTTATAGATGTTTTATAGTTAAGGTTAAACAACAATACTAAAAACAACACATTCTGGTCACACTGAGGTCGCGGACACGAAGAGGTCAAATTGAAGTCTCGGGTCAAACTTTGTGGTGGTTCCATGTTCTTGAACATTGGGTATAGCTTCAGCCAAGAACTTGCCCAACTTTCTCTCTCTCTCTCTCTCTGTGATCATGTTGGGCTCTTCATAGGCTCACAGAATACAACTCTGCTGGAAGTGCGACATGTACTGGTATACACACTAGTGGAATGCATCAAAGCTTTGCGACGTGAAGGGGCTACATAGTACATGGCGTAGCGCCGTGTTGGACACGGAAGATCTTCACTATCTTCTAATATGTCAAAAGCCACAGAGAAAACTGCTCTTGGCCCCAAACAGAATGAGTGTGATTCTAGGAAGACCAACAACCTTTTACAACTTGATGAAGTCCCCTTCTATTTGGAGTGACTCGGAGTATTTTCTGGTGTCGAGCCAGAGAAGCATCTCAGATCTTAAAGAACCGGTATCAGTTCCGACTGCGGATTTCCGGCACCAGTTCCTGATTTCGTGAAAACTCACAAAGATAGGCACTCAAGGAGATAGGCACTCGGATTCACTTCTTGAACATTTCGTGGTATTCCTGATGTCTTTCAAGAAGACCACGGCACTTTGGGGAACCCATGGGAACCCAATTTCGGCGTGGGAAGACTCGGCGAAGAACAGGACGCAGTGGGCTGGTCGCCAGTGAAGAACATGCCACAGTGCCCTGGCAATTCGTTGATGTAGGGAGGTGTCCCAACACCTTTCTTGTTTCTATGTGCACGATTCCCTTCTCCTACGCAACGAAAAATTGAATCACACGTCCTTTGATGTAAGGACTAATCAAAGGCTTGATGAACCTTCCCATGTTGTACACTGGAACGACTGAGACTCCCTGAAACCAACGGCTTCCAGCAAACACCCAGGGCTCCGGCTCCACGGGCCGATTCAGCCGGTATTCGGAACACTTCCTGTCCGGGTGCGGACTTACCCTGGGAGTTCCACGGAGTGTAGTTCTCTTCAAAGATGGAAAGAGGTGCAATTTTCACTGGTCTCAAGTGCGATGAGCTGGCCATCGTTCATAATTCGTTCTTCACTCAACTTCATCGATGATGGACATTTTCGTGACATAAGCCCCGTGCTCCGAAACTCCGAAGAACTTCATGTTCATCCGCAGCTCATCCCGGGTGGCTGAGCTCCACCGATCTGAGAATGGCGTCACTAAGGCGCGACACCGAGCCGTACTTCGCATTGATCCGTACGGACTACAAGAGCCCTGGCGGAGAGGACGAGGGGAGCCGGGGTTTTGGAGTTTTGGTGACCAAAGAGATGGGAAGGATACAGATTTATCAGTGTCTTAGCCATAGCAGCGGCGACAGTAGACCTTGACCTTGAAGAAGAAAGGCCGTGAAGACGAGGCGTCCGTTTTGCAATTCTGGGGATCATGAAGATCATGAACTCTTTCTTGGGGAGAGCTGTCCATAATGATCATAATGCTTAGCCTCATCGTGGCATTGACAAGTGTTCAGACGTCTCCGTTCCGAAAAGCTTCACACCCCGATGCAGAGAGCTTCTGCACATCGCTGGGACGCACGATGAGAATCCATGACAACACCTGAAATAAGACGTGACAACATTTGGAAATATAGATTCGACCTCAACCACGACGTGTCATTTTGGGGTCGACCAGGTTTGGGGTCTTCGTTTCATCGTTTCCGCTGCGTGGCTCGGTTGATCGCCCAGGTTTCGTCTTCAAAATGACTACGTGCCACGGCTTTCGAAGAAAAGCTGTTTCTGTCTTTTTGTGAAACGGAAACAAGAACTGATGGCTCAGCCAGCTTCAAGAATTCATACAGCCATCAACTATGCCGAGAATTGAAAGTTTTGAAGAACAATGAACTATGTGTTGTTTGTACTATTTTGTACTAATAACATATTGTCATATTGTGTACTATTTTCGTACTAGTTACTAGTTTGTACTCATTGGCTTTGGGTGCATTTGGGCGCCCAGGGTGAAGGCGACCGGTGACAGACAGACTGTCAAGTGACCCAATCGGAAGACAATTTTTCTTGTTACATGTTTTTTGTGCGACTTCCGGCTATGTGTTGAATGTATGACATATTCCCTACAGGTCTCATGGACCTGATTTGACATGCAAAGCCAGTACTCAATGAGGCCAAGGACCAGGTTTAACTTGGCCATACTTGGCCCTTGGACTTGTAGGGTATTGATCCTATTGCAACAGTGAAATGCCTTATCAGCGGTCAGTGTTTGCCGAATCAGACCCAATCATCTAACCATCGTCACCCTCTATGTCCCTTTCCACGATTGATCAACCGGACCAAGTGATGTGGAGGAATGGAGTGTTGACTCTGCATCCAATCCCATGGTTTTGGGTGTTGCCTTGTGGAACTGACTCGATCTCTTTATGTCTATTTTCACAATCTCAAAAGTTCGTCGGATCTCTTTGGATATCGCCATGGGTCGAAGTTATTTGGAATCAGTTGGACCTCTCCTGTCTTGATCGTCCCAGGTGGCTTACAGCATCGACATCTTGATCGATCCCTGTCTGGAAGCCCGGACACCGTGGTGTTTAGCATCCATTGGCCTTGGGAGAACAAGAGGCCTTCGAGGCCTCCGAGTGGAACTTCTCTGCCATGGCACCCGACGGAATCATCACTGCTTACAGCAGATGGCGCAGATGGCTTGTCCAAAAGTAGGAATCTGAAGAGTTGTTTTTTAAACATCTTTTTCCAGGATCCCCACTCCCATCCCGGTTTCGGGTGATGGAACCTGTCTAACGTAGAATTTTGCCACGAGTCCTGTTTCAAAGTGCTGGTTGTGTGAAGGATGAGCGCGAGCCACCGGTGAACTGTACTATAGAGACTATATAGATTAGTACTGTGATTCAATAGCAATATGACCGAGGTGCAAGACAGTAAGAACAACATCCACCTAGGGGGTTTTCTTTTTTCCCTGCCCTTATCATTAAAGCATCTTGGATTGGTTCCCCATAAGCATGCAGGGCATCCGTCTAGATCCTCTCACGATGCTTTATGGATGAACCATGAGGAACCGATGGTCGGTCGTTGGGAAGGACCAAAACCAGAAGCACAAACCACCTCCACACGTTGCCAAGAACCACCTAACCACCTCCACACGGATCTGGGGGCTATTCATGTTCATGCTTATTCTGGCTTCATGCTTGCCTCTCAGGAGACTGGCAAGGGCGTGGTGGCCATCATTGCTGACAGAGAATCTGCATATCTTCTATCTTCCGGAACTCCTTGCCTATCTGAAAGAGAATCAGAGTGTCAAAAGCTGTGCTTCTCGACCCATCGTCGCCCTGCGCGGCATCCACGCGGATGCGCGTCGTCGCCCCCAGGCCGCGACCTGATCCGCTCGGGTGGACGAGGCTCCGCCTGTTGTGGCTCGGTGGATGGGATGGGTAAGGCCAAGAGTCGAGATGGGTGGGGTCAACTGGGTGGGTCAACTGGTGAAAGAAGTCACCGAAGTCACCCATCTGGCCTACACCAAGAGCTTGTTGGGACTCGTCCAGGCGGGTCCAAATTGGGAATCATCCAAGACATATAGTGCCTCATGTCTTCGGAACCACGCGTGGTGTGGAATGACCGAGGTTCGTTTTCTGGCGTGGCCGGCTGTCAACATCACCCAGATGTTGAGGCTGGACAGGATTTGCAGGCGAGATGGAGCTGGACTGAGGAGCTGAGTGACCTTTGCAGGGGATGCGCATGAGCTTGTTTTTCACCCAAGCTCTCAGCTAGCGTCAAGCACGGTACAGAGAGGTACAAACGGCCAAGTTGGTATACCGGTGTGTATATATATATATATATGACGTATGGTATGACGGCACTGATATCGGTGCTATATCAATTGTATATACATAGTGTTACAGGGTTTCCAATTCCACACATAGACACATAGTGACACATAGCAGCTGCCCTTCTCTTTGGCGGCAGGTGGCCTACATGCAAAATGCGCACATCGCCAGTTGCCGGGGCACGGAATTCGAGTATGATCCCAATTGCGGAACGTACTTGGAGGCGCATATTGCGGAGCGTCCTCTGCGGTTTCGGGGGTATTTTGAGGTCCAGAAGAGCACAGCCGACTTGCGACTTGCAAGGATTTCCCGGCCAAACCGGGAACTTGATATGGCATGGAATGACTCTATGCCACAATGGATGGTTCTGGTCTTAGGTATATGACTCGGGAGCAGTACGGGGCATTGGCAGTTCGTAGTCGTTCTAAATGTTTCTCGACACAGCTGCTGATGCTGTGCCTGCTATCGCCCTTTTCAGAGCTTAATTACCCTTTTGGCACCACCAACAGGAGGTAGCAACTGTAGCAGTTTCACTGGACATAGCCTTTCTCTGATCGCACCCTTGGCTTCCTCCTGGCGATCTGCACATACCTAACTGGAGTGCTTCTCAACCAAGCCAGCAAACTCAGGCTGAACCAGGTGCCTATGGTTGAAGGTTCTTGCCAGCCTTCAGGGCTTTCTTCAGTCACTGCATGTCCCTGCTATCACTCCAGAACTCCGTTCCCGTAGGCCTCACAAATGATCGTTGCAAGGCACTCACAGCACCGTTCGAGAAATAGGAGAGGTCGAACTTGAAATAGGAGAGGTCGAACTTGAGGCTGTTGCCATTGAAGAGACATAGTTCGATCTACACATGAATCCGGCGAAGTGTTGAAGGTCAAGTGGGACTGCACTCAAGCAGTACAGCCAGAAAGTCTGGGAGATCGTGAGCTCAATTTGCAGCTTAAGTACCTCTCCTGACCCCCTTGGTTGACCCATTTTGAGGTATTCGCAAACACCCTCACCTCCCTCACCTTTCCTGGAGATGTAAGAATGTGTCTTAGAGAATTCTTTTTGTAGTAGAGTCTGGCCTTGAGCTTCGCCCGGTCTTGTTTTGGAGTCAGAAAAGTCGGATCCGCAATGTAAAGCCCTTTTCTCCGATCGGGAGTTCGATGCCGGAACCCCCCGCGCAACACATCCGGAGCTGGGCGAGGTGCATCGACCCGGGCAAAAGGCCGTGCTCTCCGACGTGCGGATCGACTCGACCACGACCGTGACCTGGACCGACCTGGGCGCCGGGGTGGAGCAGCCCTACATCACCTCCGCCGGTCACTCGGAAGGAGAGAGAGCTGACGTCGGGCGCCCGGAGGTGAGAGCTGACGTGGAGAGCTGCCCGTGGGGGTGGAGTGCATCTCTTTAAGCTTTGGACGATTTGGGACGGTGTTTGGATGGTTGCATGCGGTGAACCATACGACTTGGCTAAGACACCTTGGGACACGAAGTCTAGGACTCATGTGAAGTATCACGTGTTCTGCTCTGGGACACCTTCGGACGGCTCCTCGCTCTCTTTCGCGCCACGCGTCGCCGCCGCGTCGCGGCGCGTCCGGAGGTTACCAGACGAGGTTCCTGGCCACACACCGCTTGTGTCGAGGTGAATACGAGGCCCGAAGGGCGATGACGGCCGAAGGGCGAGGGTTTTTACGGCCACGGTCGATGGAGATGGATACGTACGGTACGTAGAGACTCTGAATTGAAAACATCAGACGTGCGCCATTTGGATTGTAAGACCTCTTAAGGGAACGCTTAGATGCTGCAATGCTGGGATTCCTTTGTGTTTACTAGTAATATAGGGACTCTCGTAAGACCGGGCGAACACCAGACGTTACACCGAGGACATAAGATTTCTGATCCGTTTATACTATGATGTACTATGTACCGTGGGTGTTGTCCAAAAGCGCCAGAGAAATGCACAAGTGTTTACATATGTTTACATCAGCATTATGCTCCAAACCATTCAAATTGAGACTCTTCCACTAAAGTCACTAAAGCTGTTCTTTTTCCACTTTGATTTCGAAGCATTTAGACCGGCCGGCCTGGGCTAAGTAGTCCACACAGCTCGCGTGCCGCGTGCGGCAAGCTGCAGGTTTGGTGGGTCGTGCGGACGCGCTCCGGACCTTACGCACCCCGGTCTGGTCAGCGGATTTGACGGTACCGATCATTGGATGGAGGATGGAGGATGGGTGATGGCAGTTTGGCTGTGTTTTTCATGCCTTTTTGGGTGAGTGGATGTTTGTTTGACCTAGGAAAAACAAGTTGACAAGACGGTCGAGGGTTTTGGACGGCAAAGATGGTTTGGGAAGTTTTCCATTGAGAGTTGAGCAGAACAACCGTTTGGCCGTATACATCGAAAAGAGATTCCTCTCATAGGCTGTGACGACCTGTGGCTCTTGAAGAAGTCCATTTTTTCAGGTGATCACACATCTGGGACATCGAAAACCGCATGGAGCAAACCAGCGAATGAGTTTTCCACCCTCCAATTCTTAGTTGGAGGATATATACAGTGGAGTATGTGTTTCTTGACAGACAATTCAGTGGCCCAAACATCACCAAACACAACTAAGAACAAAAAGAACATGACCCTCAAATCACATCACTCCCATCAATCCACCGGGTTGGTGCTTTTAAACACCTTCGCACTCCGAGCAAAAACCGAGCTGCACCGGTCCCAGGTGCAGCGCACGCGCGCCTTCTACGTCTCGTCGCCGACCTGCGAAACACCTCCGGGCGGCATTGACCCTCCCACACCGATGCTCGGCGCCAACCGGCTCGGCGCGCGCGCATACGGGAGGTGGGGCAGAAACCCACGGCCGCTGGGCTCGGGTGGGAAGGACTTGGATTAGATTGTCTATAGATAGAAACCACTTAGATTGGATTGTCCTAGATAGAAACCACTTGGATTGGATTGTCGCAGATAGAAACCACTTTGAGATCGCGCCTTTGGTGGTCCCATCTTCGCAAAAAACGGGCCGAGAGGTAAGTTCCATTCTGCGAGTTTTGCCATTCTGATTGGTTTGTCGGCCCAGTTGTTGGGTTGAGTTGTGTCAGTTGTTGGCGGGCGGGCGCACGAATGGCACGTGCGCGAGATTCCCTCTCCGAAAATCTCAAATGTCGGCACTCCAAGGATTTCAAGGTAACTATCATGATAGTTCTGCCCAGCATAAGGATCCCTTGTTATAAGGTAACGATGATTGCTACAAGGAATCCCTTGTTGGGCTCTACAATGTTATGCAATGTTCATCAATGTTCCTTTGTTATAAAATATACAGTACGTGTAAGTCTATGTCCAACAAGGGATCCCTTAATATCGCATTCGTTTATCACTTTGTCGTTATGTTGTTTCCGGTGGTAGACTTTCTTTCCGGCCCCACATGGTGTGCGCATGCCCAACATGGATTTACACCACGACCGGAACGTGGGGACCGTTCAGAAGGCGGCGGGGCCGTCCAGCTTCGAACCGGGTCCCAACGGCCGGGCCGTGGGCGACCGGCTTGGGACCGAAGGAGGAGCCCGTGAGGAGTCGACCCGTACGAGCGTGTGTCTGGCCGAAGGCCGTGGGTGAAAGTCACTAAGGCCTTAGCCTTTCGCCGTATTCGGGGTAGAAGGAGAAAGAGAGAGAGAGAGAGAGAACTGTTTCGATCCAAGTATCATGGACATGAAGGTGCTCAAACATGCATTGGCTTTCGTGCCCTCCAAGTATCGGGGCCACGTTTGCACGGTTGTTCAAGCAGGGCTCAACAACTCTGGCATGTTCTTTCACTCACCTAGAGATTGATTGTCAACAGATTAGGATGCACTCCTTCTATCTAAAAACAGAACAGTCTTAGACATAGGAACTACACAAGACCCATCAAAACCATTCAATACCCCTGTGTGTCCAAGGCTTGGCAGAAAAGAACTGACCATAACCCCGACATTGCATCTCCAAGCGACATCTCCATGCCCAGACTCACCGTGGTTCCGTTCGGTTGACATGCCCAGGCTGCTCTCGCTGTCCGACATGCCTTGACACGTACGCGGAAAGAGCAGACCGTGTGGCGAAAAAGACATGGAGCGAGGTGGAGCGGAAAGGACCAACGTTTGTGGAGGCTGTGGAACAGCACCCTTTGGATAAGGAATACGAATCGGTCAAACATGGTCAAACCAAAGACTGCAAAGGAAAGAGGATGACAGAGGCGATCAGGGTTCAGTTCTACAACGTTGTGTTTCGTCCTGATTGTACACCAAATATAGGCTTTTCATTTTTTGTTGATCAGTGGCAGGTCGCAGGCGATGTCCAGGCGATGTCCGTTCCAAACGCTGTTCGTCCGTCGTCCACGCCTCCTGTCTCCCGTCTCCACAGGGTCCTGGGAAGGGCGCTGCAGAGGGTTTCCGCCTGGAGCGCTTTCAGGGAAGCCCCGCCGGGGCACTTGGAGCCACCGAGAAAAAGCTCGGGAAGACCGAATAAAACCGATACACCAGGGCGGAAGGGGCACCACAAGACAGGCTCTTCCAGATGCACAGAGAATCGAAGATCTTCACTGAATTTGCATAGATGTTGCATGATGTTGCAGATGTTTGCCGCAAAACAAAGCACTTCTATCACTGATATCCTGTAGGAGTCTTGGTCTATCTTTCTTGGTCTATGGCCTTCGAGGCCATTCCCACGTTCCTTTGAGGCCTCCTTGGACTCCGCCGACCCCTTGTTGGATATCGGCACCGATGCCATGAAGGGCGAGGCCGCTCTTGGGTTTCCGAAACGAAGGAAGATGGACGGAGACGGAAGGGAAGGATGTGCAGGTTCCAGGCAGGTTTCATAGGACTGGAGGTGACTGGTCCGGCGCCTTGGGCCCGCGAGGCTAGAGGCTCGGTGACCTAGCAAACTGCTGAGGTGGGAGGCCGGAATTATAGGATGTTCCGGTGAAAATGACCATGGGGGGATGATTTGGGGGTTCCCTAGTTCAAGAACCCACCATGTGATCATGACCCTAAGAAGTGGCCATCGAGTGGAAGAAAAGCATGCTGTCCAGTGTCCATGTGCGGTTGTTTCATTTCTGCCAGAGTCAAAATTTGGATGTCCTGTTTGTGTGTGAAGGGAGCCAGAAACACGGCTGAGAGAGGGTTTGTGTCACTTTGTGTTTCTTTTGCCACGGCTAAAGTTGTTTTAAGATACAGTTTCCACTATACGGCATGGTAAGGCCTAGGAGCATAATTTATATATACTGTAAATTATCCTTACTCTTGATATTAAACTAAATAGATGGAATGTTCATTCTTGTTGCCAGGAGTAGGCTGTAGATGAGGTCACTTCCCTGATGCCCTTTGTCAATATAAACTTTATGGCATGTTACGAGCATAAGAAATATGTTGGTGGAGTGTTTGTTGCAATATGTTGCGAATCATATATCCTTGTTATTCCTCCTTTGCTTACATTAATTTTCTGTTGCACTGGACTATGTCTTGGAGCTCCCGACGTTCACGTGATGTTCACCAATTCCATGAGCGTTCTGATCTTCAGTGCTCCCAGATGGTGCGACAGAAAGTACGGAAGGCCATGCTTCAGCGGATGTGCCTGGGCGATCCAAATTGCGGTGGGAATCGGACAGATGTCCAGATGGGACGGTCCCGGAGGGTTTCGGAGGGTCCCGGAGGGTCCCGGATTGACATGCGAACGGGCCAGACATGGCGAAGGTCCGTTCTCCATGGGAAACCACGGCTCCGACGGCCTGAATCGCATTCGTTTGCGAGCCAAGACGGGCGCAAAGACGGGCGACGGCACGAAGCACGCAGGGTTTTCGACTGTGATGGACTTGCAACCTTGCGTTTCAACGTTTCTTCATGCCCTAGGGCTCCCGTCGTACCTGCTCAGAAGGTAGTTGGACCCTCTAAATCCACCCCAAACAGCTCCTTAGAAGGTACTTGGATAGGGATGAGAAGAGGATTAACATGTCTGTTTTTCATTTTTGTTTGGGGCGATGAGGATGGCATCGTCAGCTGATCGTTGGTCTCATATGTCCTCCCCTCGCCTCGTCTCGTCGTTTCGTTTTTGAGGCCTGCGCCGGATGTGATCATGTACTTTGTGGACATGCAGACCATTGGCACCGCCCCAGGTGGGACGGACTGGTGTCCCGACGGACGTCTGGTGGTTCGGTGTCCCGACACGTAAGCGGTTTGCGAGAGAAACGGCCGGACGAACGAAGATGCGAGAAAAGGAGGTAAAGTCCTCGACGTCGTTTTTGAGAGGACATGAAATGTCCCACATGGATCTACCATCGACATGAAATCTGCCGTATTTGATGAAAAAGCTTCTGAAAGCCGCTGCTTTGGTGGTGAATCATTCACCCAATCTGACCGAGGAGCCCCTCCCGCAAGCGGCGAGGTAAGGAAGTCTCTCTCTGAACAGCCTCTATGGTGAAATCCTCCTACCAGCGGCCCATAAGGATTCACTCATTGGTGGAGGAGATGGGATTACCCTCGTTTGCAGACGCAGAATGGGGAAAGGTACCTGCCACAAGCTGCCACAAGCCTTTAGATTGCCATGTTTGCCGGCCATTTCATCAACATTTCATGAAACACCTCGTCCACTTTATCTTGTTTTTCGGCCGCAGGTGATTCTGCAGTCATGGCACAGCTGCTGTTGGCCCAGGCGGGTCAAAAAGGGTGGCACCCCACATGCAAAACTTCTTGTGTGCTTCAAGGTTCCAGGTATTCAATGGTGGCGGTGTTACAGTTGAAACAGTTGCAGTTGGGGCTTTGGAACAAAGACATGAATTGACTATTCATGCACATCAATGCTGTTTGGGTTCCTTGCTTTTTGTGGTGTACTGAAATGACGTCTTTGTTTGGTTCAAATCTCTGCTCACTGACCCTGCTAAAATCGTCTGACCCTGCTCAGATGCTCGGTGTGGGTCAAGAGGTCGGATCACAACGAGTGGATTGACAAGCCGACAAGCAAAAAGACACCGTCAATTCGGAGTTTCCGACCAGCTCCCCCGACCGAGCGGGTGCCCAACAATTGGGAGCTGGTCCGCTCAGACCGCTTTTCGCGCTCACAGACCGAATAAGTCCGCTACACTTGGACTCACTCGGAAGTGGATGGCATGCCCCCCTGCCACGGTGCTCGCATGTAGTCTCGCATGTGAAAAGCTGAAGAGGCCCGGAGTGAAATGTATTCTTATCAAACCCGGTTTGGTGGGTTTGATCAGTTTCTGTGCTTTAAGTTTCTGCTATTTTTTTTCCAAAGACTCCCGGGTCGCTCAGATGTTCGAATGCACATCGCTCAGATGGCTTCCAAGCTGGCTGGCTTGGCGGTCGCCTGCCGCCGAGCCCCAGCACCCCAGCGGGGAAACCTGTGGCCCGCAGTGGGAAGGGACGGGAGGGCCCGGTGATTGTTCGACTCCGATCACAGAATGATGTACAAGTCCGTATTTGGATGTATTTGGTACTGGTTGGGGTTTCAAGTAAGTAAGAATTTGACGAAGTCAGTCGAAGAATGTGTGTGATGTGAACATGACATCTACAGTGTCTACACCCGACGCCGTTGGCCAACGGACCGACGCCGCTGGGTCGGTCGAACGCTGCGAGCGAAAAGGCGCCACCATTCGGGTACTTCAAATAGCTTGTTCAACTGAATTCAAACAGCTCACCTTAGCCTCAATATATGTTTACGTTGAAGGATACCATATAAGTTTGTATTGCCAGTCTTGTTTTTCTCCAATATGACCCTCCCTGAAACCATCATGGATGTGGAAAAGCACCGGTTTGGAGAGCCAAGCAGGTCTTCCAAGAGGCCATGTTCCACGGAGGCCATGTTTGTTGGAGGGAGCTGTAAGAGAGATGTTGGCCCGTCACGGTGTCACCTTGGAGGGGAGCTTCGCTTCGCGCCCGCCCTCTTTTCGCCCGACGGAGGCTTTGGCTCGGCACCTCCCTGGCGGTGACCCTGGACACCGGCGCCGCCGTGGTGAGGGGAGCTCGGACGGGAGCGCAGCGGGCGGTGGGAGGACAAAGTCCTTAAGGACGTAGCAGTAGCAGGGATCTTTTGTGTCAAGGGCTTTCGGATTAGCTTGAGGGGTTGAGCTTTGTTCAGGGTTTTGTTTGTTTTGTTCAAGGATGTTCAAGGGCTTATTAATAAACGTTTAGGGATCTTTAGGGTTTTGAAGGTGGCGCAAGACAGACCCAGGTTTCCACGCAGTCGATGGAGATTTGGACCAATCCTTAGTGCTTCATGGGCAACACTTAGAAGGGCTTACTTTGACCAGACTCCTATCCGATAGACTACAGTGACTACAGGATCCACCCAGAGCCAAACAAAATTTGCCTGAGGAGGCTCTTTGTCCAAGTGTTTTTCTTGGCGCAAGAAGTGGCCCGCGGGTTCCTCCATAGTACATTGCTGACGTGCGTTGACCTGTTTTGTTGTTTTTTTATCTTTTGGCCTCTACTGCTTGCGAGACTGCTAGGCTGCCTACGCATATGTGCTCAGTCTCGCATACTATTGCGTCACCGAGAAAGAATGCAGAACGCAATAATATGCGAGACCTATCATATTACTATACGACAATGCATATTATCCAGCCTATATATGAAAGAATACAAATTATTGCGTCACCTAGAAGAATCGTCCCAACTTGGAACGTTTGGATCTTGGATGCGTGACATGAGGGGCACTCGACGTGTCAGCCGCACGGATTAAAAATACTTCAAGCCGCATGGATGGGATACTTCCTGCAAGTTGAACGTAATCTTACGCTAAAGATCTTATGCATTGCATCCTCTCCGAGTGCCCCATTCACTTCCGTCTTTTTTCGCTGCGCCGCGGCCCCACTTTTCTCGGCTTCGCGGAGACGCAGACCTTCCCACCGCCGGCGAGTTCCAGCGATGCGCGCCAGCGCGAGGCTCCTCCGGAAGTGAAGGTGAAGCTCTTCGGCTGGGGACAGGCGCGAAGGACCGGCGAGTGGAGGCGGAAATGGGCGGTGAGGCGACCAGCGGGGTTCCCGCTGAAACGAAGCACATGGCTGCAGACGTAAGGGATGAGAACGCGATAGTTATATATATAAGCTATCATAGTTGTACATGGTGTGCACGACTTGTGTCAGCAGAGAAAGACAGAACCGTTGTACATGTGCACAATTGTGCATATATTATATAGTTAACTAGAGTTATATATATATACTGATATGTTATACTACAGACACCTTGATGGTCGTGCACGATAGACCTCCACAGAACACGAAGACGCCTTGCAAGACTTCAGATCGAACACACTGCACCGCGATAGATCCATAACACACTGCACCGCGTGTGTTGAGAATCCATCCCACATCCATATATAAGAAAAACATGGCCATGGGTATAGGGTCTCTATTCAGGGGCCGACTCAAGAATCCCTTCGTAAACTGCCGGTATCGATTAGCAATGAATAGCAATTTGTCCAAGTTGGCTTGCTTCGACCTTACCGTTGTGGATCATTGTCACCCACTTTTAAAGTACTTATTTCGTCCAGTAACCACCCCCAAATGCTGTGGCCTTACGGAAGACATTTCCTCAAAAATGGTCCAGAGCCAGAAATGACATATCATTCCCAGTGGAGCACAGTGGCAGTTCCCCACCCTGGAAGGCTGCCTTCACCCGCGTGGAGCAACACCAAGCGCTGCCGCCGTCCGAGCGTCGGGAACGCAGCAACAAGTGGCGCTGGGGGCCTCAGTGGTGGGTGACCTTGGTGGGGGCCTCAGGGCCTCAGGGCCTTGGTAGGAAGAAGATGAGAAAGCAGACCTGACCGTCAGGCTGGATGAACAAATACATCAATTCATGCGCTGATCAGATAGCTTGACTCACTCATGACCATGATTTGAGTTTGTTTGAACAAAGACACCCTTTTGTAGAGCTGAGGAGTGGTGCTGACGAAGAATTTCCGGTTTTTGGTCGGATGGTCTCAAACTAGCTGACGCTAGGGGTCTCAATATGTATAGAATATGTTGCTACCGCCTGGTATAGTCTGGTTGGAGGTTTGCCTAATAGGATTTTGGCTGAAACCATGTGAGGCACGAGCTTTGTGGTTTTGGGCCTACGTCAAAAAGACGTGAAGGCCAATCAATGGGAAATAAGATATGTGGTGGAACTCCCGCTGGGTGTATTAAATTCTCTTCCCGACGTATGTGCAGAAGGTTTCGGATTTCTTGCAGATGAATGGCCGCCCAAAAGCAAAACTCTTTTCTGATGAAGGAGGACATGCTGCACGAGTGGAAGCCGGGCATGTTTGTGATGATTGTCTCGCACCAGAGGCTCTCAAAAATGCACCCAGAATCCGACGGCTAGCAGTTGGAGGTCTTGAGATCAGTGTTGCAGGGCCTCATGGATGCGTGTTCGCGGCTTTAGATGCCCATTGGGTGTTCTTCACGGATAGAGGCAGATCACGCGGGAGCTTCAAACGAGAATTCCAGAGGCCTACATTTGGCTGGATTGGGTTGCCATCCCAAGACTTGACCAATTCTGAGGCAGCAAAGGCGGTTCAGAGTATTCCAGGATACGTTGAGAGGTGCAATCTGTTCATGGTCCTTACTCCAGAGCTTTTTCATGGGGACACTGGATTGATTTGCAACTCCACGTCTTGGCAGTCACGAGGGTGGTATGGCTGAATTGCTGCATCACCAATTGTCCAACAAAAACGAGACCACACCCATTACCCTTCAGTCGGCAAGGCATGCAGAAGTCAATGTTTGGCAGGTTGATTGGGATGGAGTGTGGCAAAGCCAAACCACCGTTGAGGAGGATAGGGTTGTGGTTTTAGGTTTTGTCCAAGAATAGGTTGGCATTAAGATTCAGCGCGAGAGAGAAGCTGGTTTTTCCGCCTTTCCCGATTTTGCATATGAGTTCCTCAAGCAGTTTCACTTCTGTAGCATCCTTGAGGCTGCTCATGATAGGAGTTCAATGCCAGCTTGCTATTTGCAGTTCTTTCAGGTGATGTCAGCATGATTCGAACCTTGGCGAAAAGCATGGCAGATGTCAACCTCAGGTGCCATGGGCTGGAGGAGATGTTTCGCCAACCTGACATCCACACGCCTTTGATGCTGGCGTGCAAGTCAAAGCAAGATCCAGAGGTGCTGTCCACACTCACCGAGCTCCAAGCTGATGTGAACACATGCTGCGCCTGTGGGTTGAGTGTGCCCAATTGGATTCCATCGCCAGGGCAAGTGAAGAAGCTAGCCACTGCGAAGGCAGACCTGGAAAGCATGAACCCTTTTCGGCAAGGTCCACTGGCCAGTGCTGCTTCCTGGGCAAACGCCGAAACAGTGGCCCAAATGAGTGCTTGCAGGTGTGATCTAAAGCCTTCCGCGATTTCTATCCCTTGCGCACCCCTGCAAACTTCTCAAAGCGCCAAACACTGGAAAAGGCTCATTCTCCAAGATGGTCTCCTACATGTCAGACGACTTTGCATCTCTCTCTCTCTCTCTCTCTGCAGCAACCAATTGTTATTCGGAAGCCTCGAAGGTATTGCTCCACTTGCCGTGGCCGCATTTTTCGGTGATCATGCTTTGATCCGTTTTCTTCTTGAAGCAAGAGCTTGCCCGTCCATTCCCAATGCTCGAGGAGATCTTCGGATCACCATTGCGATTGCTCAGGGGCATGAAGCAGTCGCCGATGAACCCTTGAACTTCTACAGGGCGTGTGTTGTCACAATTTGCTGATGATCAGTAATGATCAACATAGAAATTGTACAACGTTTTAACATTATCCAGTGCTACTGGCCGTGTCTTCTAACGTTTGCGTTTTACAAGGGTTTTCCCGCATCGGGCCAAATCACGTTACGGGTGAAACGTTCCTTTTTGCGCTGGCATGATAGCTTCAAGAACCCACAACAGGGGACAACAGTCAATCGGGCAGTTTTTCCAGTGACAGAAAGAGCAGGTGACACGATGAAAAACAAATTTTCCATATTTGGCTTAGGATGCCTATCGCAAAACTTATGGTTGACAGCCAAGCCCTGCATGGTAATATCTCTACCCTGCTGGTTGTTTGTGAACGGCTGGATGGTGAGAAAGCAACACTTTTGCAGGTGAGTTTATCAGCAGCATCGACAAGGTCGCTTGGGAGGCCAAAAACTTTCGTGCGGCCACGGCATGGATCATCGCTGACTGCGGCAGGTGCATCATGTTTTTTTCATAGGCCATTTGTTGATTCCAAGTGGAGCATCACGCGCACGCTGTGAGTGGCGCCCGTTTCGCACGCGAGAGGATCGTGTGACGAGGATTGAGTGCATGGGTTTATGGTTTTGTGTGGCCAAGCCCCCCCGGCAGCTTGCTTCGATGAAAACGTGGAAACGCTCGCCGTGTTTGCCTCGAATGGGGAAAGACAGAGAGAGTGGAGGAGAGAGCGGAGGAGAGACGAAACGAAAGGATCGCGGTGGCTTTGAAAACTATAAGGCCTACTTGGGTTTCCTCCCGACAGGTCCCGGAAGAGCCCTGAAAAGAAAAACGAGGATACTGAAATTATCATACACCACTTGAACCGAACGGAAAGGAGACACATAGCTGGTGGGAAATTTTATTTATATATATATATGATTTGTTTAGCGAGATATAGACTAAATCGAGATCACCTGAGCAAGTTAAGTGAGCAGAGTTTCATCCCGTTTCTGACGATCCTAACGCCCATTGCAAAAAACTGTTGTAACCTGGCTGAGTGACCCCCAATAAAAGAACTTACGACAGAAATAGGGGATTTCACCATCACGGAAGGCAAAATCAATCGTTTTTTTTCTCCAGTGCATTCATCGGAAACAAAATCGGAGAGGCCTCTCGTGCCTACCTTCACCGCTTTGGCAACCACAAGGGCTGGAAGGAGGCAGGTGAAAGAAGGGGCCAAATGGGTTGTTTCCTCCACAGGACATTGTAATAGCAGGTATAGACTTGGTGCACTGTCCTTCAACAACAGATGTTTTCTTCGTGGCTGTTGAAGGGGGGGCGGAAGAGATCTTGAAGAGATCCAGAACACCAGCTGAGACGTGGTTCGCAGGTGACGTGTGTTTTGTGCCAAGATTTCTATCCTCCACCAATTGTGATTTGCTGGGAGTGGGTCTAACATCGGTTATAAGGGCTAGTTAAGGGCTCTTGGTGGCTGACATGTGTGTGTTTTTTTTTCTCTCTCTCTCTCTCTCTGCTGGCCTCCCAGCCTCTATGCCGTGGGACCTTCACGAGCCCTGTTTCCTTGAAAAGGTCACCGCAAAGATAAGACTCCTCCAAATAAAAGTATGTATTCAACACTGGTGCGTCGTTCCAGGTGGTGTTCAGAGCTCTTGTCCATCAAGCAGAATCAGAATCAATCATGCACGGAAGCATTTCCAAACCAGCCATCAAGCACAGAGATAGTGGCGACAGAATATATATATATAATGTTATACAGCACTAGCACTAACTGGCTGTGGCATGCTGTAGTTTCTAGAGCTATACCATATACCTGAAGCTTCCTTCGCTACAACAAAACGCACATTTCAAAAGGTGCACATGGATCCCTCACCCCATTCCCACCCATTTTTGGGTGGTTCGCCATTTTTCGCTTGCATGATGCAGGTTTCCACCTTTGGTCGGAAAATAACTTCAGTCTTCAGCATCTTTAAAAAACGCTCAAAAGATTTCAAAGACTGTTCAAGTTCAAGGCCTCCAAAACCGCGCATTTCTTTAAACAAAAGCGCTACAAAAGTCAAACAAAGTGCTCACACACACACATGCTCGAACCCTAGGTTTGCCAAGAACAAGTGCTATACAAATGGGTACTTTGTGCTTTCCTGCCTCGTTGCAGTAAGGAAACACAATCTTGTCCCAACCAACCATCACGAATCAACCATCTATCTACTTTGACTCACTTGCCTTCCGGTGTTGCCTCGCCACGTTGTCACACCACACATGCACCACATTGCCACTACGTGCCGATGCCCTACAAGAAAAACCGAACGCGAGAACTACACCGAACGCGAAAAACGCGGGGTCCGACGTGTGTGGTGACAGGGTCCGTGGTGACTTCAGCAGGTGAAGTTTGTGGTGGCCGACTTCGATGCCATCAGCTCGCACGACTTCATCGGCCAGGACGGGGCAAACCGACCGGTGAGGGCGTCCGGGATAGGTACCGATGTGATCCGATGTCAAGGGAGGACTATTAATCTATTCTTAAGAAATGGTACTTAAAAATGGGGAATCAGACTCTAATGAAGGGATAGACTTGGTTTCTTAAAGCTATTGGCCTTAAGGGAATAGACTAATATCAGGATGTTGCATGGAATCAGCTCTCTTCTTGAAGGGTTCGGACGAATGGCGTGAGGTTCTGACGAATGTGTTCTCAGGTCCACCTTGGCAGGTCCGAGGAGTTTCATCCGAACGTTTCCATTTTAGGTGGAAGAGGGTGGAATTTACCGGGTGCGGCAATGGATTCTTGGTTTCATTGGTTTGCAGAACCACTCAAGGGTGGGGCACTTTTCAGCAAGTTACCTTTAATATCCTGTTTATACCTATAATATACAGTAATATATATATATATATAACTAGTGCTTCTATGTGTATAGTGACGAACCTAGTGCTATTCCTCCCAGGTTTTGATAAAAACACCCGTGGCACCACCGGTTTCCCACCACCCATTCCGCGCCACGTGGCTCCACGCAGCGCGCCACGCACCTCTCCCAGGCCTCCTTGCACCTCGACGAGTCGACACCCCTGGAGGGTGAACAGTCCTTGCAACTGGTGGACAGGCCGGCCCGCGCGGACCGCAGACCGCTCGGCGGACCGGCGCCGTTTCGGCGGCGGGTGGTGACCGCGCCGTGTGTTGGAGGGCGCGGTGTTCGGACCCGTTGGAATGGGCGTGACTCGTTCTGCAGTTCGGATTTGGGGGGTCGATGCTGAAAAAGGCCCGACCCGTTTTGACGTACATGTTGCAGTGAAGTGATGATACCGGGTGCGTACGCCAAGGGCTGGGAGGGCTGGAGGGCCAAGAGCAAGCAACTGCCGCTGGATAGTCATGTTGCGTGGGTGGTGTACGGCTGACTTGCTGCGTCACCCCTTCATTCAGCAAGGCATGCAGAACTCAATGTCTGGCAGATTGATTGGGATGGAGTGTGGCAAAGCCAATTCACGATAGATAGGCTTGTGGTTGTAGGCTTTGTGCGCAAAATGATCGAAATCAAGATTCAGCATGGGAGGGACGCCGGCTTTTCAGCACTCTCTCGTCATTTGGCGGCCGGGCAAGTCAAATTGGGCGTGAGCGAGGCCATTTCATGGCCTGCAGAAGAGTTCCTCAAGCAATTTTCATTTCTATAGCGCTGCTCATGATAGGAGCTCAATGCGCTTGCGTCTGCGCAGGAACCTTTCAGGTGATGTCAGGGAGCTCCAAGCTGAGCTGTCACGCATGCTGATGTGAACGCATGTGAACGCGCCTTTGGATTGAATGTATAGCGCATTGGGTTCAGTCAGCAGGGCAAGAGAAGGTGCTGGCCACTGCGAAGGCAGACTTAGAAAGCTTGAGCCGAGTCGGGAATGGTCCACAGGCCCATGTGTGTGGCTTTGCGGACGCCGAAACGGTGGCCCAAATGATCGCTTGCGGGTGTGAGGTAAATCCACCGACCCAATCTTTCTATCCCTTGCATTGCTTGCTATCCACATTGCACTACCAGTCAGTGGAGAAAGCCTTGCTGCAGTCCTTGCCCACAGAGCGGATGTCAACGTCCAGGCTTCCACAGCAGGTGCAGGCATCTTTTTCTTGCATATGTCAATGCTCCAAGATGGTCTCCTACATGTCAGACTTTGCATCTTTCTTGCTCGAGGGGATCTTCCACTCAACACTGCAATTGCCCAGGGGCATGATGCTGTGGCTGACGAGCTCTTGAGCCTCTGAGGGGTGCACGGTGTCCAAATGTGTCCCAGGTCTTTGATGACCATTGGTTGCATAGTATTGTTTTGCGGTTTTATACATGGCTTTATGGATGCACCATTTCAATGACCCAGTAGTACCCACTCTTTGGAACCATCACATCAAGGCAAATTCAAGCTCATTGATGTTCCAAGATCACCCGCGTCGGAGCAAGTCACGTTCGACGGGTGCTTCGCTCGTTGAGAAAATCACGTTCACAGGTGACACGTCAGGGGCAAGTGCATAGGGATAGACCACTAGCAAACGGTCATTGCTGAGGTGTATCCCAGATCACTATTCTTTTGGCTTTCACACAGACTGTTTCCAGATCACCATCGACCACCGTCCACTTGAGAAAGGATGGGCATGAGTATGAACACATCCAGCAGTCAAGATGGCCTAGATCTTCAAGAGACCACAATCATGGCCCCCCAACTAATTGCTGACTGCTGCCAGGAGTGGAAATCCTGTGATCGGCAAGAATGGCCTACCTGCTACTCTGTCGGGGCAGCCTGTTGGGGATCTGCGGGTCATGCCACCTGGGTAGGCATGATGGGTGTTCTCAAGAAATCGATTCCAGACGTTTGCGTTTGTTGTTGTACCAGGTGAGTATCATATCTTGAACGATAACTGGCAGGTGAAGATATGGGCAGAGCGGCAGGCCTTATAGGAATATTGTTGATTTCTTGCACTTAGACTCCCCGGTTGCTTGGGTGGCTCAACGAATTTGATTTGTCTTTAAACTTCGATGGCAGCCTCTTGGAGTACTATATATTATATAATATATATATAGCGGTTTTTTAAGACTAATTTTACTATATAGATTATACTATAACTATATTTTGTTTAATGTGATAGGGTACATCTCTTCTCCATGAACGGTTTCGAGGCTCCCCAAAGTCCATCCTTTTTGTTGCGAAGAATGGGAGAATGACGTGAGCCTGACAAGCTGGAACATACCTGGATTGTCCAACGATGCAGAATCTTGACCTTGTCATCCATAAGACCAGCCAAGTTCGACAGAAGCTTTGAAGAGTATCCAGCAAAAGCCTGGGGGATTTTCACGCAGATGTCTTACGTTTTTGCACAGTACTGTAATGTTTGAACTTGTGTATAGAAAGGTCAAGATCTCAGGCAAACAGGGCAGATCGGCGGCAAACATGAAAAGATCTTTAGAACATAGGGGAAGTTCCAAGAAAAACGGGTGGGTTCAAGACGAAGGTCTCCATGTTTTGTGCGTTATTTCAAGGTCTCCAGGTCTGGAGCAACAGCTGAAGTCTAACCATCCGAGATTTTGGCAGAAGTCTAACCATTGTCCTGAGCGGTTGGTGTCTATGCATTCTCGTCTTTGTTGCATATTTTTAAGGACCTACCCAAATGAGTTTCCATGACTCTGGAGATGTTGAGACCGACCTACATGACTTGCCATTCTGTTCAGATTCGTGTCTTTCGTCTGCACCTCGCGATGCGGAATGAGACCTGCATTGACTGCTTGGCTCAGGACCTGTTCAGTGGCTCTTCATCACCTGAAGAAGGACCGCCGTTGTCTTTTTGCATCGCCTCCAATTCTTGGGTCTTCTCGTTCAGCTCACAGCGGTGAGGAACGGCGCCCATCAGATCTTAATGGACCTCTCCGGATTTCTCAATTTGTAACCCTCTCACCACCTCGCTCCCGGTGTTCGTCGCATGCGCATCGGTGGGATATTCTACACGCGAAACCGTGCAGGTGCGATTGAGAGGCATTTGGCAGGTGAGTGGCCTCAGATATAGCAGTCAGTTGCCAGAGCAGATTGAGTGGCAGCTCCTGTTGACGATGTGATTGCTGAGCAGCAGTGTATATATATATAGACAACACTGTTTAGTTGAGTCTATCTCTAGATTTGAGATCTCTCAATCAGGCTGTGGTCGGCAATGGCCTGTGGGTGGTCTATTATTGTACGTAGTCTAGTTACAAACAGCCCGCTCAAAAGTGCTAGTGTAAGCAGTAGTTCGAGAAGTAAATGTTGCTACACGCTCGCTCTTTGAGCCAAGAATCGCAAAAACACCTCCAAATTCCACTTGTGCACTCGCCAAAATTGAAACATGGAAACCAACAAAATCAGGAATGCTGGAAAATATGTAGTCAATTTTTGAGACTGCCATTCTTTACTGTGCACCATTTACGCCGCTTGAATGGTCCCAGTTGCACCAATTTAATCACAGCGGTAAGTGATTTGACTGCTGGCGCACACGGTTGAAAGATTTGTAAAGCTGGTGCGGGTGAACATCCTTTGAGCACTTTGCAGCTTTGCAGTGACATGGTATTTTCTTCACTCTGATACCTTGGGATTTGTAGGCCACCACGAAGCTCGCTGAGACCTTCGGAGGTCGTTCGGAAAATGGGACCCAAAACTCGCTGACCAAACTCGCTGTGTCACGGATCGGGTGCCACCACCTGAGACATCCGGGGAAGACACGGCCGCCTTGTGCGGCCGCCGATGGTGATGAAGAAGTACATCTACACCGGCGACGATCTCATGGACCCTGAGTACACCACGTCGGGTGGTAGAAGAGTCTACAATACTTCACCAACCCATTGTCAGGGTCTATGTTAGATTTCGGGAGTGTAACTTGGCCAAAAAACATCCGGTCCTGCTCGGTTGTCTTTCTACACGCTAAGCAAGCGGAGCGTGGGCTGAGCTGCGCGCCCCCGGTGCCGAGGTGCAGATCCACAGGGCGGTGAACTTACCTTCTCGTGACCTCAGTGGTAGTGCCTTGGGAGAAGGGGCCGGAGAGAAGGGGGTAGGGGCCATCTATGGCCATCTGATAGGGTTAGTGATTCAGTGATTAGTGATAGTGGTAATTCGTGAAACAATGGGCATTGGGTTGCTTGTGTCGATTTGTGAGTTGATTGCTTGGTGAAAGTAGGGGCACACAGCTGGTCCTCCAAGAGAGGGCCTCCGTTTGAAGGGGTTAGTGAGCCATGGTGAGCCCAGACTCACCCTGCGGGGCTGTATACATGAGAAGGGCATAGGAGGGCGATGAGAAAGTTCCAGCATTGAGATGAGTCAATCGGTGAAATGTGTAATGGAAAGATGCGGAAAGCATGCTCAAGTTTCACACCCACTGGCTGTTTTTTTCCTCTACACCCACCAACTAAAACAACGATATGATAGTGCCTCAACCTATCTCAAACTACACGCATGAAGGACCCGCTTCCCGTTACGACGCAGGAAGGCCATCATCGTCACCGAAGAACCTCCCAAGCAATGAAGGAACTCCTAAGCGGAGGGTGAACACTGAAGCAAGAGCAACAAACGACAGAAATAGGAGTCAATGGGACCCACTATAAGATCCTTTGCCTTCCTCAGAAGAAACCAATCAAATCAAAACCTCTGGGGTCTCCAGTTCGGGTCGTCCCAAAAACATGCCCGGCCTGGGTACCTTGCTCCAACTGCCAGCCTCGGACGCCTGGGTCTCCCTCTATGCCACTGGCGGAGAGGCCACGACGTCGCTTCGACGTCGGTTCGACCACGAAGAGGGTGCATTAAACGCATGACATTCCCAAAACATCCATGGGACTGGCCTATTTACCTACATTGGGGTGGTTGAAACGGGGTCAGTCTAGGTAAATATTTCAGTCCAAGGGCTCAAAACGATGTGTGAGTCTTCCACCAAATCACTGTTGCCTACCGAGGGTATGTCACAGGGATCTTGCTAGCAGTAGCAGAAAGTGAACCCAAAGATGCCCAAACTCCCAAGAGTTGCAATCAACAAATTAATATAAATTAATCAATCTCCTGACCGTGAAGTAGGGATGACCTGGGATGGCCTGAGAATCTCATAGATTCCTCCGTTCGCCATACCCAAAACTTAACACCCGAGGCTCCAAACTGTTCAAAGCCCCTCCTCCCATCACCAGCCACACCTTTATGTCCGGCCGGGGCAAGCCATCGTAGGCCTCAGAGTTTTGCTTCCAGCAGCGGAGCTCGGCAGGGGGCACAGCTCGGTTGAGATCGGATCGAACCTGTTGGGTCCCCAATGGTCCACAGAACGGGGGATCAGATGCACTCCCTATAAGTCAACCTAGCCCTCTTTTGCAGGGTTTGAGGTTGTTGGACACTTTGTCAGCCCGGCATGTGTCGGGTCCTTTCAATGTCAGGTCCCTCCCGACGATGGCTGGGACTCCCAGGAGACGGGCGCCACCAGTCATTCATGGGACCCATCAAACATGTGGACCACGACACACGTCGACTGGCTGGCCTTCACTGGGTGGTCTGACGTGTGTACGCCACGACGTGGGCACGACTGGGCATGACTGGTGCCTCGGAACCACGGCCCCTTTCCACGTCCCAGAGCCCCCATTCGAGGAGCCCGGAGCGTGGCCCTCCGCTGTGGCACGCCTCGGTCTGACCGGCGTTCGTCCCTCCCAGGTGGTGCCTCGGAACTTGAATCCGGAATGGAACGAGAGCTCCTTGGCCGCTGAAGCGTGGAACTGTTTGTTCGGAAGGCGTGGACGGCTGGCGAGTCGACGTTTTGGCTGGGACAAGGCAAATCTGTGAAGGTTTTCGACGTTCTTTTTTGCGATGATATGTTTTGATCATATTTGGTACCCAACCTCCTTTGTGCCCTGAGTTGGGTAACATTTAAGATCCCTGAAACACAGAGGCATGAAACCGACCTCAACCTTGACTGCACGAGACGTGTCTTTTATGAAGCTTTTGCTTCAGATGTTGCACTGAACTTGTGGATGTGACAGTGGGGATTTCATGGGATTTCTAGACTTCTTGCATTTCATATCTTGATGTATCCCTGGGGCTGCCTAGGGCTCCAAGCACGTCCTCAGAAGGTAGTTAGACGCCCCCTGGCACCCCTACCTTCTGATGTGCTTGGAGCCCCAAACACAGGGTCAGCTCGGCACCGGCCGGCTCGGGCGCACTGGGTCTGTGGCGCTCGGACCCGGCGCTTGGACCCAGGTTTCGACTTGCCCTTGGCGCAGCCAGGTGAGACGAGCCATCGCTGGAAACGGGGTGTTCGTCGGCAACGAACGAAGGTTAGAGCGATGCCATGCCTGGTTTCACCGCATATGATGGATCTATGTGTAGAAATTTTCAGGATGGGTCTACGACAATTGGGGAGACTTCCTCGTATTCCTTTCTAGGCTTGTGCAAAGGCTCTTCGGTATCCGCTTACATATCTTGAAGGTACCTATCCCCTCATCAACCTACGTATATATCCCTGACGGAAAATGTTCTTTGTTTTCAGATTTGCGGAGTGTCGTCGTTGCGTGCAACCATGCATCCAACCAAGCTGGGTGTGTCTTGCTTACCTTTTCTCATGTTGAAATCCTGATAATGCTCCACATTCAAGAAGCCTCATAGTTGTTACCTGGAGCACGGAGGAAGGTCAACACCTCTTTTTTGATGATGAAAATTATGGCAAGATCTCGGTCCTGAATTTCAACCTTCACCGACTCAATCCTTCCCAGCAAGTCTGGCCTTACCGTCAGAGGTAGCAGATTTGGGATTTGATCAAACATGGGATCTGGATATATCTGCATAATCTGGATGGCCAAGCAGATCAAGCCAGATCCTGAAACCCTCCCAACCGCCTGGCAGCCCGGCACGGCCGTGGAGGTACACTGCTGGCAGACTGGCTGGAAATCGCAGCTCCCAGCTTGGGCGATGCAGCTCGAAGTCTCAGACGCATTGGGACAACCGAAACCGGGAGTCCTCTTTTTTTGAGGTGAGCGACTCTGTAAGCCTCCCTGTCCATGTTTATATTGTGGTAGGCTTGTCATTTTTCCAAAGGTATTGCTTTTCACATCTTTTCACTGCCGTTTGATCATCCAGTTATATATATAAACGCGTGTGTGTCTTTCTGTGGTGGTTTCGGGTTTCATTCCTGCAAGGTTTCAGTCTATGCTTTTAGATACCCAAGACTCAGAGTCGACCACAACCCCTCTCCTTAACCAGCGATTACACCTCGGAGGTCAGAGGCAGAACAAGCTTCGCCCGGAAGTTATTTTCACGACAAGACCACACCCGAACCCCCTTGGTTTTGTCGTTTTTCGGAGCAGAAGGTTCTCGTGGAGCGCGAGACGCCGTGGAATGTGAGGTCATCAAGAGTGGTGAGAAGCTTCTACCCTGCTCAGCAGGAGCGGAACTAGATGGCAAAGGAATGCGTTGATTAGTACTTTCATGTACTTGCGATGTACTTGCGGTATCTGTCGATATGTTTTATCGTAGGGATCAGCAGCAAGCATTGGACTTTCCTCACACAGAGGAGGGTTGTGACAGTGTCCTGTTTGTTTGACTGATGATTGGGACACATGCGACATGATGATACAGTCCGTGACTGGCAAAACATGAGAATCGCACCCGTTGTTATCCACCTTTTGCCGCCATTGGCGGTGCCGCAGACGGGGCCGAAGACGGTGGGGGTCGCGGTGTAGATGGAAGATCCTTGGTGAAGCAGCACCGGGGTGATGTCTTGCAGCAAGAGCGCGGTCATACACACCTTGATGTCGTGTCAGTACCCTCCGTGATTGCCAACGACACCGTTCCTGAGATCTTGGGCGCCCACGGCACGCCGAACGTTCGGCCGAACATCGCCTGGTGCCGGTTCGGCCGAGAACCGCGCGGGGTCCGGCGCCCAACGCCGAACGTTCCGCGCGGGGCAGGATCCGGCTTTGTAAGCTGCTCCACCACTTCCAAGGCGGACCGGTGGACGAAGGGAGGTGAAGCGACTCTTGACAGTTGGTGGATCAATGATCATGAACTGTTGTGTTTTGAAGGGTAAGCTTTGATGGGTTTGGGAGTCTTTTGATTCTACATGATATAGCATTATGTTACTATGTTATATCATTTTGTTGTGGAGGTCGTGTGTTCAGGTTCACACAGAGTTGATCTTTCCACAAATTGATCTTGGAGATACTTTGTCGTGCTGGAGGCATCAACGCCATTGGCTGGTGTAAGATGAAGAGTGCAGTTCGCCTGTTGAGCTTCTACACGTTTGTTCGCTGTTTTTCAGACTTGATGGGAACCACCCATGAACCGTATGTCAGCACACTCTGGGCTGAGAAGCTCCTGTGATGAATCTCAACATCTGGGGATCCACTGGATGAAATGACCTCCTGTCCAGATGCTGCTGAAGGGAGCTTCTGAAAAAAGGGAAGTGAGGCTTAGGGGTTCTGATGCTTTAGCTCTACCCATCTTTTGCTCATGTCTATCCCGATTTCCTGAGTCCCAACGTACTCATGGTGATTGGTTCATAGCTGTCGCGCAAATAGGACTGACCAATGCCTTGCTTTGTTAACCTTTCAATCTCCTCGTGATGTCCACGAGACTCGTGTCGTGGGGGAGGGCGCGTGAGCACGCGCGTCAAAGACGGGCGTCAAAGCCGGGTCAAAGCCGCTGCTTTTGTTCGTCAGCTGTGTCAAAGCAGATGCTTTTGGTTGGGCGTTCTCGGTAGGTTCCAATAAACCATAGTTGGGCGCTTGGGCTCGAGCCTTCGGTAGAAGATCATTCACTGTTTTGAGATGGAAAAGGCCTGTAACCTAACCATCATCATCCACTGAAACCTGGTCATGAGATACACGACTGTATGGCAGAACCATCTTACGCCAAGGAAGAGAAGGCCGCCTTGGGCGTTTGGTGCACTGCCCTTGCACATGCCGCAGATCGGGCGTCACGCCACATAGGCAGCGTCCCGCGACCGGCATGTGGCGGCGGGTGTCTGGAACATCCCGGCGGGTGTCTGAACCCCAAGGGGGGCTATGCCATCCAGGATCCACTTCCATGCAGGGAATGTGGATCCACTTCCCTTTTTTTTGTTCCAGGCAGTGTATAGTGTATCATGGGCATAGTTGTGTGCACAATGAACAGGCCCTTGTAGTTGTTTGATTGATTCGCTCTCTCTTTCCCTCCCTCTCTGATTCCAGTGTTTGCAGTGCCAAAACTTCCCCAAGATCAATTCCACTCCAGTTCAGCCAAGTTGGAACCGCTGGGACGCAGGGGAGGAAGGACAGCTGACTCCTGTCAGTACAGTGTATGAACCACTACGTAGTGAGACTGCTGGAAGGGGCTGTGTGTTTCATTTACGCCCAGATGGCAACTCTGGGTATCTCTGGGTCGATGATTTCACAGCCAAACCCAAAATTGACAAGTTGCAAAGCAGAGATTCCACTTAACGGTTTCCCCGCCCGCGTCGGAACCTTGATCCTCCCGGGTTAGACGCTGAATCAAAGGACACCTGAAGTGGAGGAACTGCGCTGCGTGTGAACGCTACGCGTGCAGTAAGGAGACCCCCAACCAGTGGGTGTTTGTCTATGTTCCTTCTTCCAGGAGGTTGAACTGGGAGGTCTCCCTATTTTGACGCACACCCAAATTACCTTTGTGATTCTAAAAGGCTTCTAAGCTGCGCGTGAGATCGTGAACCTCTCAGAAGCTGCTAGAGAATCATCGCCGCTCGGATGGCGAGGTTCTCCCACTGGGCGGCCCAAGCCAGTGCTACCAGGCCAGGATTTCTGGGGTTCCCAGGTGGGTGTTTGATGTGTTTGATAAGGAGAGGCTACAAAGGAGGGCCGAAACATTGCGCTCGATAAAATTATATACTGTGTTTTTGTTAGAAATAAAGCCATTGTTGCAATCGTATTAATGCAATAGTTTAAAATAGTATAAAATAGTTCATGGCCGTCCCTATTTTGAGACACTTTTGTAGCACACACAATCAATGTAGCTATGGAGGCCCCTCTTCCGCAGATGGTCAGTGGTCGTTTGTTTGTTCACCTGATACGCAGAGTCCAAAATCCATGTTTTGCCAACGATTGCCGACCCATATTTTGCCAACTCAGATTTCTATGCCATATCATATCTTTTTTTGTTTCGGGTGTTCTTGCTAGACATGTAGCTGAGAAGCCAGTTGCCCAGCTGAATTGGATCAACACTGCAAGTGGCAAGCCATGCTGATATGCCCTCTCCGCCCTCTCCCTTTGCAGTCGAACTGCTGGTGGAGCCGGTGTTGACGGCCGCCTCTGCACGTCCTGAGCGCAGCAACGAGGGTTGGTGGAGCGCGTGGAACCCCTTCAGCTGGGGCGCCTGCGGTTGAGGTCCCTCATGTGTGTGTGTGTGTGTCTTGCAGCAGTTTGCTTCAAGAAATTTGAAGCTTTTTATGTTTGGAACTGCATGGGGAGAAAGATTTTGGTGAAAAGGAACAGCACAGTGAACAGCACTTATATACTTGGGCATGGCATGAGCTTTTGGTAATTGACTTAGCTGCTTCTGAGCACGCGTCTTACGCAAACCCACCGCAAAATTACCACAAAATTGTATTTGCTTGTGTGATCTACGCCATGGGGTTGTGAGCCGAGAACTTTGCCTCTAGGGAGACCTCCTTTGGTGAAATGGCATTCTCTTTCCTCTGCTACTTTGGATGACTTTCAGGTGGTGTACCGCGAGCTGGTTGGTCTCTTTTGAAGGATTCCCACCTGAACTCCCTTCCCCCAAATCCTTGACAGGTTCTTCGTTGCACATCGCACT